CTCTGCTCCATATGTGTGGCGGGCAGGAAGCTCCTGTTGTGGGTGAGTCTGGTTCCCCCCCAGGGATGTGTGCAGGGCTTCATCTTCAAACTACTTATTTTAACAAGGGTTCTCTAAATCAACCACATACAGTACAAGCTTGATTTTGGAAAACTTAATATCAAAAAGTAGGGCCTGAATGCCTTATCTGATTTTCAACGTAATGTAAAAAACGACCAACATCCTAAAAGTGTATCATAAAAATGTGGATAAAACTTGAAAATGTCAAATTATGACACCTTGCAGGAAACCAAAACACATGCAAAGGGGCTTTCAGGTGGCCAAATGAAACACACCATTACTTGACTTAAGTTTCCGATTTCCCATGTTTGACCATCTTTGGACACATTTGGTAGACGTAAGCACACAACTCAAGAACAAATACAACACATGTCTACTTATGTAGAGATTGCACATATTATATCTTTAAGTTATCCCAGTATTACATCTTACCAGTGGGAAAGCAGGGAAAAAACCCAAACAAAAATATTAACTTGATAAAGGATGACTAATCAATGATCAAAATTAAAAGATTTTCTATCAACAAATAATTCAAATATCACATGTTTTTTGTTGTTGTCCCTCTCAGACCCATGCACTTTGGCAACATACAGGTGCAGAGACATGGAGACTGCCTTCAAATGTGGAGTAAGTAAAACAAAAAAAACCTCTCCTCTCTAAACACGGTTAACTTCTGAATGCTAAGTAGTGATTACCTCTGCTTTCTCTACACCACACAGACTGTTTTCTACTGTCAGAAATTTGCCTGGAATCGTTACAACACACTTTAAAATGTGAAAGTAAGTGGATTTCTACTAGAACTTACATTTGTGTTATTAAAAATAGAAAACACAGCAGCAGAAACATTTCTCCCTTTTCTCTTTTTAGGATTGGACTGATTTCAATGTTCCCATTGACGACCAAGATCTTTCACCAGCAAGCTGCAATTATTTCACTTATTGCTCGGCCCCTGTGCCATTCTCTATGATAAATAACCTTTCCAGACACTGTCACACTGATCGATATCTTGTGCATTTTTTGATTTTGCATCGCCTGCCGGAACTAGCTTGACAAAATATCATAAACAAGAAGGTGATTTGAATTGTAATGGGATTAAAAGTATTAACAAACAGATACAAAGCTCAACTCTAGGAAGAGAAAGTTGAATGATGAGGATATAAAAATGAAAGGTCTTCACAAATATTCTCTTTCCTCGACAAGATTTTTGTACCAATCTTTGTTATGTACATACAGTTTCATTGCTTTGTCTGCTGTTTAGTTTATTTTCGTAATCCTTCATACAGTCAGATGATCGCAGGAGAATTATCTGAATAAATGTTTATTATACAACACTATATATAACACACTTATATACATACTAATCACTTCATTCTTCTCCTCTTCTGCCAATAAACAGCTTAAAAATATTATTTTTGTCAGTGTGTGATTGTATGGGCAGCTGTTTGGTGGAAATCAATAACTGATACATGAAACAAAATGTAAGTACTGCAAAGTGAAGTGAATTTTTTCATACAACACAAATTATTTTACTGAGTGTAAAACAGGGCCGGATTGGGACAATAAGTCAGGCCGGGAATTATACACCCAGCCGGCCACTACCTGCTTTTTTGGTGCCATTTTGCTGGATTTATTTGTGAATATTTACAGCGTTGCTGCCCATAGTGAAAGCCCTAAAGTTTAAATCTACCCTATAATAATCATATGGACAGGGGTTACTATTTTAAAAAATGTGCAAGATTTGTTTTTTACATTTTGGAGTTAAATGCATCAATCTGGTGCACTTTGAGGGGGAAATAAAGAGACTAGATCAATGGAAACACCCTGATGAAACAGATCTATAAAAATGTTTTGAAAGTTGTTTATTTATTTTTGGTTCATTTATTGTTGTGAGTGTGTCCGTGCTCCTGAACCAGCCTCACCTGTCTACCCCCTCTCCCCCCTGCTCCTCTTTGAGGCAGCAGCAAAGACTAGTTTTAGCTCTCAACAAGTTTTAAAAGTTTACCTTTTTTCACCTATTTAAAATGTTTTCTTTTTATTCATGCATATTTTACTAATCATTCCCCCCTCAAATGGAAATATATGTTTACATAAATGGTGGTCAAACAGTTTGAGACCCACTGAGATAACTTAGACTAAGTTAACTATCTAAACCCTCGCGCTAGTGGAGCCTCGCAACCGTGCCGCGCCACACTATGCACTGCATAATCTCAAAGGTGAAGTCTGTGTGTAGAGTATGTTCTTAAAATTAAATGACCAGCATCCGTTTCATGATACAAAATAAAAAGCCAAAAGGACAGCTATTGAGCATAAAGAAGAGTGCAGTTTATTTTTAAATGGCATTGAAAAAGGAACTCAACAACAACTCAGACTCATCAGTGTGAATTGTTGAAGCAGGAGATTTTACCACATCAGTTTAGAGGATCGGGCCAGATTTAATTAGGCAAGGAGTAGGATATTTGGGGGATAAGGGCATTGCAGCAAAAGAGAAAAGGCACTTTTACACATTCAGCAACCACACTGAAACTTCATCAAGTTATACAAATTATTGAACAGTAAATAATGTTACCCAACCACAGGAGAGAATGTAAACAGGCTGGTTTCTCTGTACAACACCAACCAAGCATTTGTCTCGTCTGTGGAGGAGCAACAGGATGCAAACATATTGTTAAAAAATATTTGAGAGGTAAAGTTATTATAGTGAATGATCACTTTGTTACAAGCTTAATTAGAAATGCTCTCAGCCCTTTCTGTGTTGCAGTACACTCGAAGATCCACAAGGTGATGCTCGAGGAGCCAAACTGAATCAGTGACATCAGAGCAGAAAACAAATCTTAATGTGAGTATTATATGAGGAAACATTGCCACCTGGCTACACACTACGCGCAGCTCAGACAAAATACCAAACGTGATGATCTAAAGTTGAAAACCGACTTCACTCGGGCTTGCAGCTGGCTTAGCATTAGCAAATATATTGTGAAGATACTCATTCGAGAGTAAAGTCAAAGGGACGCATTGAAATGCATATACAGTGTATACACAACGTATTCGGGGTCAATCTGGCCAGGGTCTCTGGCACACATCACCCAACTTTATCTGCATTTCTGTCCTAAACCCTCAATAAAGCCAGGACTTATTAGTTAGCTACTAACTAATAACTTTAAAAAAAGACTTGTGCCATCCATTACGGTTTGGTATAAGAATGCCGTTTTAAAAACATAAATAAAGAAAAAGAAAAGCTGAATATTAATTTAGGAACTACTCTACAGTACACACAACATTGAAATAGAGACCTTTTCCACTTTTGGTAATTCTAAGAACCAATGTGCTGTGCAATTCAAGTTAAACTGAACAGTAGCATATTCTGACCCCCGTCAGCATGAGTACAACACCAACTGCTGGGAAGACCAGAGCAGTAATGTAATGTCTTACATTCACTTAGCCGACTGTGCAATGTGTGTCTGTGGCCTCATCTTCCGCCATACAAATCTACCTTTCACATTGTGCGCAAGTGAGACTAAAAGGTGTCAGGGAGCCACTATTTAGATAAAGAAATATTGTGGCACACATTAATCAGCTGTCCATCCTTACTTGTCCCACAGTAGTCAAAGCCATTTTATAAAACAAGATGCTGCCCTGGAATAAAGGCAGCTCCTGCCTGGAGGCGACTGAGCTGGGTTTCTCTGTAGCTACACCCAGAGTCGGCTCAGGCAGGGTGTGTAGTGTACCACGCCTTTATCTTGAAAACATTGACAGTTAAAAAAAAAAATGTGGAACATTCACATGAGATTTAAACCAAGAAAAAACATTTAAAAAAATGTAGCGATTTTATGGTGCAGTCCAACAAAACCAAAAGCAGCTTCTGACTTCTCTGTAAAACATCAGAAAGAAAATGGCCTGAAGGGACAGCACGAATGAGAAAATGATCTGATTTTATATCAAATCAAGTCATGTGATTGATCCTGTTTGTGCCAGCAGAATTACACAAACAAAGGGTGAGGTTATGAGGGGAACATGGCAGAGATTGTTTGCAATACTTGACTGCTTGTTACCAAACACAGTAAGGGGAAATTACATGAAGAAAAAAACTGAGCACGCCAACTGCCACTGATCACTACAGTGAGATCCAGTTTGAATAGATCCAGATAAAAGCTAGTAGTAAAAGAAATATCCTGCATTACCATGAATACTAGCAAATGCCCATATGGATCACTATGGAAATCTTTTAGAAATAAAGTTTAAATACATACCGCAGAGATCAAGTTATTCTATTCTTAACTAGCATTATCAGGGATATAGATGGCCATTATTGATTCAAAATGTGGCGAGCTGCCAGAATAAAAGATAAACAAAAGCTGGCAGCACTGCTCGAATCTGAACGCGCAATTCTTCCAGCATGGTTGTTCAACTTCATACATGCAACTCAAATACTCTTTATGTTTAATAGAGATGTGTACAATACTAACAGGTGGAGAAAGGGAATGGTCTTCATGACGTAGAAGCTGCGCTGATGTGGCTGTGTGTGTGAGGAGAAAGAGGGAGGAGGATGATAAAGGAGGATGAAGGAGGGAGTAGACGGGCACAGGTTTATCTGTAGTACACCTCGTGCCCGCTTAAAGATTAGAGGAAGGGGTTCAGTATTTCAGAGCCTTTGGCACCTCCCATGTAAAGAGGTCTCGACCAAAGTGCCCGTAAGCTGCTGTGCGCTGGTAGATCGGCATCTTCAGATCAAGATCCCTAAGGCAGAAATGAAAACAGTTTTTTTAGAGACCAAAAGTATGTGTGAAATGGGATCTTAACTAAACGAGAAATGAGACACCACAGGATACCTCACGATAACTCCTGGACGAAGATCAAAGTTCTTCATCACAATTTCCAGCAGCTCCTTCTCGCTCTTCTCGGACGTCCCATAGTGGAAGATGGAGACGGAGAGTGGATGGGCAATCCCAATGGCATATGCTACCTAAAACAGATGAACCCATTAAGATGTTTTTGTGAAGCTGGAGAGACATTTTAGATACTACTAGATAATACTTTAGATTAGATGCATATACAATACGTTTTTACACAACAAGGTTTCTCACTTTTTATTACATTCTTTATGCATTAGCATTACTAGTACCAACAGGAACTCTGTGATGGGGTAATTGGAGTAAACTGAGTAAACCATTACATATTTTATTCCACATGCCATAAGACAGTTTTTTGGGTGGGATTACTGTTATTGCATTTTTGGAAGCATCTATAAGCCTACATGTATGATTCTGTAATAAATCGATTTGGGGCAAGATGTCACTTTACTTTGCTGTACACTCACCTGGACCAACACCCGCTTGCAGAGCCCTGATTTCACCAGAGATTTGGCCACCCAGCGGGCAGCATAGGCTGCAGAGCGATCTACTTTGGTGTAGTCCTTCCCAGAAAAGGCTCCTCCTCCATGGGCACCCCAGCCCCCGTAAGTATCCACAATGATTTTACGGCCAGTAAGACCAGCATCACCCTGTGGGAAGAAAAACAGGAGTTATGAACATTTATGACAAACACAACTTTCATGTTTTATTCACTTTTTAAAGTGCTCTTGTCTCACCTGTGGTCCTCCGATGACAAAGCGTCCGCTGGGCTGCATGTGGTAAACCGTTTCCTCGTCCAGGTAGCCACTAGGAATGACCGCTTTCACCACCTGCTCCTTCAGACATCTGCGCATCTCTTCCAAAGCGATAGCCTCATCGTGCTGCACAGACACCACAACGGTGTGAACACGCAGCGGCTGCATGGCGCCTCGATCCTGTCTGTACTGAACAGTCACCTGAGGGGAACAACAAACACAATAAAGAATAAGATTAGATAATAATACATTTATTGGTTTACTATTTTATTGTCAATCTCAATCTGCAAAGTAAATGATCAAATATGTTTGCTGTTACAAAAATGTTAGGCTGTAAAAACTTGCATGGAGGGCAAAATTCAACCAAGGTGTTTTTTCAGGAGACGCAGTGCTTAAAACCAATTAGAGTCATTGGGATCATTTATGAAGTGCCATAAAGCACCCCTTTTACTTCCAGTAGCCAATCTTATCCCACCAAAGCAAACCTAGGGTACGCACTGCAAATGCATATATTAAGTCTATACCACATTTACTTAAGTTTGCCATAAGTGATGTAAACACACCATTGTAAATGATGTGTTATTTCTTTGTCCTACCTGAGTTTTGGAATCAGGCCGGAGCCACGGCAGCGTCCCATCTCGGCGCAGCTCAGCCATCTTGGCATTGAGTTTGTGAGCCAGGACGATAGTGAGCGGCATACACTCCTCAGTCTCATCAGTGGCATATCCGAACATCAGACCCTGTGAGAGGTGCAGTCACAAACCACAGCATTAATAGAGTTCAGAAAAACATTATAAACTTTGTAACACCACATTTATGGCTACAGTTAACCGGTTGTGGATCATGCTCAAACATAAATCTAAAAACCCTCTGACCTGGTCACCGGCTCCCACGTCCTCCTCTTTGCGATCCATGTGAACGCCCTGAGCAATGTCGGGGGACTGCTGCTCCAAAGCCACCAGCACATTGCAGGTCTTATAGTCAAAACCTGTAGAACAAGACCGTGAGCCTCAGTAAACTGTTTCACATGACAATCCTCACCAAGACCCTTTTAAATGTTTACTTTTATTTAAAAACTCTGATCACTCATCATGTTGACCATATCATTGTGTATGTTTGTTTATTCAAAAAGGTTTAATGTCAGGTAGCCAAACCTGTTTAAGACTATCAGTGTTTTCTTAGCTGCTATATTCAAATTCAGAAGTCATTCGCTCAATGTACCCTTTTTCAGTTTTCACGATGCAAAATTATAGTTTAGTATATAATATCACCGGTAGTGGACAATAACTAAGTACACTAAGTCAAGTACTGTACCTAAATACAATTTTGTTGTAGTTTTACAATTTTGCAGCTTATAATTGTTGACTTTTTACTTAAGTATGGATATTTGTCAGGGACTTTTACTTGTTGGAAAGTATTTATAGACTGTAGTATTTATACTTTAAGTAGATCTGGATTTTTTGTACAATACCGAAAAACATTCATTTTGTGGGATGATCGCAGTCCAAAATAACTTGAATTCTCGCTACATATTCTGACAATACTGCTACAATACGAAACGAGGACATTTTTAGGGTAATTTGATACAATCCTATGTGTAAATCTAAATACTCACATATTTTAAATAACTGCTATAGTTTAGGAAAGAGGTTTTAACTGTTACTTTAAAACCATACCTTTGGAGGAGTCGTCATACCCAATGTGTTTGATTGTTTCCCTGACAATCTTCTGGTAGTCAACGCTGGCTCTGGAGGTGATCTCCCCAGCCAGCAGGATCATCCCCGTCTTAGCAACAGTCTCTGAGGACACAATGACATACAGTGGATGAGAGTCTAAGTAAAACAGATCATTAAGGACAAGGTGGTGAAGGTTGTCAAAGCCAACAAAGATTTCACTTTCGTACCACATGCTACTTTGGCATCAGGGTCTTGTCTGAGGTGTGCGTCCAACACAGCATCACTGATTTGGTCACAAATCTTATCTGTAAATAAACACAAGGACATTCAGTTTTATATGATACAAAACAGTAAAGCAGGAAACTTGTTTTTGCCTGAAAAATACTTTGATTGTTATTTCCTTATCAAGCCAGTTAGCCAATTAGGTTTCAGTGAAAAGACTGATAAAATAATTGCTACAGCTGTATAAGGAATGTTTGCCTTTTTCCTTCCACAGCTCCTTAATTCCTAAACCCTTTGAGGCCTTCACTCTCTGACATGTACTGCAATAAACCCCCTAAACCCCAATTCGGGACTAGTGTGACAGCATTTCTAAGAGGATCGAAGCAGTTTGAATTTATTCCAAATAAGTAAGCAGAGTAAATGTACACTTAAACACAACTTTAGTAGATATATCTTTAGGTGCTTCTATGTTCCTGCAACTATAAACAATGTGTGTGACTGTGTTACATCCACAGATGACCAGAAGCGCCTGCACTGCCTATAATTAGGACTACTGGTAAGCCTATTAACAATGAAGCGTGCCCAACTTAGGACGGAAACTGCAGCGTATTGTACAAGCTGCTGTAAAATGTTCTCAAATTGAAACGCAGTATGCTGAAGATGTACAGTAGGCCTACTGTTATTTGCTTAGTTTTTATGAACAGTTTTGAAGTTTAATGGATACTTTGGAGGCCGAAATGTGTATAGTTCAGCCTCACTGACAGCACAGAACCACATACTTAAAGGTTTCCGAATTACCATAATGCTTGATCGAGTTCTAAAAAAAGGCTTCATCATAGAGAACATTGTTCACGTACGTTTTGATGTGGACCTGGTTCAATTTAATCTAGATTTAGGCCTTTAAAAAGAAGTGAAATCTCCTCTTTTTTTTTTGCATGTTCACAAATACGACAAAGACTTCATAAGTGGAATATGTATCTCTTGCTATCTGTGATAATCTAGTTCAGTGAAAGTATGGACATTTTTGTAGGAGACCTCGTTCAATGTGGTCCAGGTTTTGGCAAAATAAAAAACACGTACTGAAGTCTTCCCTTTTTAGTATTATTCATAACAGAATATAGGTTTGACAAAGTTGTAAGTGGGTTTCAGACAGCATAAAGGCTTTACCTGCCTTTCTAACATGCTTTCACAACAGTATGAGACACAATGTAACTTCTCATTCAGTAAGTAAAGTTTACACACGCAGGAGAACCAGAAGCTGGGAATCTGAACGAAACTTCAGCGTGTTAGCTTAAACAGTTAGCCACCGTTTGGTTAGCATTCAGCTACGACGCTCCAACTTCATTCCATAAGCTGGCAACATTGCCCCAGCATTTATGAAGTATGTTGTAACTTCATGCCTCAATTACATGCAGCTGGGCCACTTAATATACACTTGTTAACGGTGACGACATAGAGGAACAGAGATGATGCGCAGGGTACTTATTGGAGAGCTGACACACAACAACACGCTGAGCTACGTTAAGAGTAACAAGCAACGTGACCTTGTTTGAGAGGCTAACAGGGTGCTATCAGGCTAATTATTATACAATAAAGGAAAACTACTTCCAGGAATGCAGTTAATATACATTAAAAACTTACCGGGGTGTCCCTCTCCGACTGATTCAGACGTGAAGAGGAAGCAGTCTTCATCAATGTGCGAGTTGTTATGGAAACCGTTCTGATAGCCGTTCATTTTACCCAATAAGCAGGCGGGAAGCTAACAAGCTAGCCGTTCAGTTAGCAGTTTTAGTGAAGCCGTGCAGGGTTGTTAGAGCCTTTACCTGGATCTGCTGCTGTCAAACACTCAGTGAGCACGCTGCTTCACGTGTATCCTCAGCAGGGTGTAGTGCAGATTGAGTCAGACTGTTGCCTAAACAACTTCTTCAGGCCCTTCTAGTCATTTCTCTGCAGCCAATGTTGTTGTTGAGCACACACCATGTGGTGCAAATGGGCGTGCTCTAATTTAATACATTGAAAGTCCCTCGGAGTAAAAAAATTCCGGGAAGTGACGTTTAAGCATCCTTCTACCATGCCTTCTACCTTGACAGTGGTGTTTAATATTTGTAGTTTTGCTTAAAGGTAGGGTGGTTAATTCACTTCAGAAACACTTGTTATATTCCATGCAATGCTCTTAACATCCCGATAGCAATACATTAAATGCTTTGACAATAAATACACAAAAAATTCATCTGTGGAAACCGTGGCGCTATAAAGAGCACGAGCAATCGTCTTTGTGGGATACGATCGGACCCTGAATGCATGAATATTGCCGTTGTTTTCTTTGTACATCACCTCCTTTTATACTTTCCCAACAACAATAAATAACTAACACTGTTATCTTCTTGAATAAAACGTTGTTTTTCTAACATGCCTCCATGAGGAACCAATAATCTTAGAAAAGTCTCAATTAATTGAAGTGAATAAGGGACGAATTTAAATACTACAAATCTGTATCTGACTCAATGAATGCAAACATATGCATTTTCGCTCAAACCTTAAAAGCGTCCTCTATAAACACCTTTTCATCCGTGCTCGTCTAAATTGTATTAAATAATAAGGTCTTAGTTCAAATGCATGTGCTTGGGAAGTAATGATCATACATACAGGATAAATAAGAATTAGATTTGTTGTTTGAGTATTTTTGTCAACGAAAATGTTGAAATAGTTTAGCTGTTAAAGTGTTTTAAACATTGTATCCGTATAAGCTTATAAAAATGTATTTGGGACAAAGAGATGAATTAAAAGCAAAGTTACTATACATAAATAAATAGAGGTAAATCATTTGAAAAGGTTTAAAGGTTAAGCTGAAGAGATTAACTTAAAGGTCTTAAAGTCAATCAATACACTGAGTCCATGTTTAAACACAAATACACATCTTGTTGGAGTATTTGTCCAATAAACAGTATTGGCTCCGTTTACTCTTTTTGTTCTGGTTTTATTTGCACACTCACACAATTAAATGTCATTTCCATTAAGCAAAACAAACAAATGAGTACACCCACTCACTGACTCCGTAGAACAGGGGTTGTATTCACAAGGCTGCGAGGAAAAAGAGCATTGATCTAAGATTACTGTTCAAGTCACAAGGGCACGTTTACATTTCATTACTCTGAGGACGTAAAATGCTCCTTTTTAGTTTACTTTTAAAATGTCAAGAATACAGACCAAGAACTACAGAGTTAAAAGTTTAAAACATCTGGTCCAAAAAAATGCGTGTTTCACACATTTCTGTTTTGAACACACACACACACACACACACACACACACACACACACACACACACACACACACACACACACACACACACACACACACACACACACACACACACACACACACACACACACATGAACAACCACATATACACCCACAAACACACACTTTCAAACACAGACACA